ATTCAACTACTAAAGTGTTTGTGCAATTTCCATTAGAGCAGTGTTAAAGATCTGGGATGCAGTCAAAGCTGGAAATAAGATCAAAAGCACACATTTGTTTGACTAAATTATTATTTTTTTTTGTCTCAAATCCTTCCTAGGTAATAACTAACCTTTTAATTAAAGATAAAAGTTTTAATTCTTTTTATAAAAGAAAGATAAGACAGGGTGATGACCTCATATATTTATTTTTTATCAGATTTTCATTAAATGCGAATGGTAGGGGTTGGATTAAAAGGTGAGATGATCAGATACTTGCGCTTGTAATATTGAAGGTTAAGATTGGAATGTGTGTGTATATACATGTGGATCCAAAAGCCCAGACCAGATAAAAAAATATATATATATATATATATATATATATATGCAATAAATAGAAGGTTAAGACATTGTCAAAATATTGTATGAAATATTGCCTATGAAATATTTGTAATTTGTGACATTGACCGTGGACTCCTGTATAATATAATATAATATAATATAATATTTTTAGGAAATATACATTTTTTTAATCAAATTGTTATACTGCTCAAAATTGTGCTATCAACATTTTGGAAACTGCTTTATTTTTTTATAACATATGTATATTCTATTATTAGTGTTTTAGTGGCTTGTATCTTATCCTAGCTCTCTTTTTCACAGATATACACATGTGACAAAATATCCAGACTGAATGAGAGAAGCTGGAGCTCATTAGTGTGTGTTGACACAAGGAAACAAGAGACTGACTTCCATCAGGGCTCTGATAGATCACATCAGTGCTGGACTGCAAGCAGGTATTGATCAGAGTGTGTGTGTGTGTGTGTGTGTGTGTGTGTGTGTGTGTGTGTCTTGGGGTGTTTGAGTGGCACTATGGGTCTATACCTAGTAATATCGCCCAGTATGAGGCCTGTCTGTCTGCTGCGATCTGCTAGACTCCTCACCACTGTGTTCAACAAGGCATGAGAGTTCTTGTATTGCTCAAAGAGAGAGAAGCTCACAGACTAGAGTGTGTGCTTGCACATGTTACGAAGTTCATTGTTCTTTTTTTCTTGGTGTATGGCTTTCTGTTTCCTTTTTCAAGGGGATTTATCATAGAAATTACAGCAATACATGTTTGAACTTGCTTTATATATTATAAACTGTTATGTTAATGTATAAGAATTTCTCTAACTGTGCTTTAAACGTGTCTTAAAGGGATAGTTCACCCAAAAATGAAAATTCTCTCATCATTTACTCGCTCTCAAGTTGTTACAAACCTGTATGAATTTCTTCTGCTGTGCAAGATATTTTGAAGAAAGTTTGTAACCAGGCGGACAGATATAGGACAAAATACACACATATCTTCAAAATATCTTCAACAGAACAAAAGAAATAAATACAGGTTTGGAACAACCTGAGTGTGAGTAAATGATGACGGAATTTTCAATCACTTTAACTTGTTTGTTTTAGCCTGCACTTAATAATTGTAAAATATTCTGGAATACTTGATTCGGATCAGTTGATCATGTCATTCTGAGATCATATATTTAGTTTAATGGTCACTAAGCCAACACACTCTCATGGTAATTCTTATCTATTTTACATTTTGGCAAATTATTATGAATTCTAATTTATACGTTTTCTTATTATCAGCTCACGCCCCACTAATGGATTTTAAGATAGGATTAAAGGTGGACCTTCATGATAAGTTTTTTCCCTTCTAATCACATCTTGTGAATTTATATGAAATATTATTTTAAAATTTTTTGGAAAGCAGTTGGTAGCTTTTTTGTAAATGTATATTTATAATACTGTATATTGTGTATATTGAAATATATCTGATATTGATATATAGTGGATATAAACTGACATAAAACAAATATTTGATTTTGCATTATATGTCACTAATCTAATATCTGACATTGACCATGTGATATTTATTGTTGTAATAGATCTGATATAAATATATCACATGACAAGATATAGGACTGACTCAACACCCAAATACATCGTTAGACTGTCCGAGACAAGGAAGCGGGTGTAGGTAGAGATCCTAACGCTCCCCCAACAACACAGACACATTTGAGAAGCAATCTGAGTTTACCACCGTCCCTCATATTAGTCCCTTGAGTCTGATACCCATCTCAACCCCCCTCACTGTGTTTTTACTTAGGCCTGTCAAAACATCAGAATATACTGACAAGGAGTTTGAAATGAGAGCAAATATGAAATTTAGAATGTTTTTCTTGTTGCATTGATTGAACTTTATATGGCTTCTGTTGTATCGAGTAAATATTTAAAAAGATTAATAATGGTCAGGATTGATCCCGAAAGAAATGGAGAGGAGGAGTGCCTGATGGCTAAACTCATAATACACCGTAACACTTGAGGTTTGGGTTATTGGTGACCAATAATTGATCATCTGTATTAGTGTCTCTGTGTAATAATGTTTTTTTTACAGTGCACCATTGCTTTGTTAAACCACAAGACCTTTCTCAGTGTTTTTATTAGCAAAACGTGTCAGAACAGCAGGATTTTATCTGGGTTAACACACTGGAATATCAGCATCCCACCTGGCCCCTGATCCTGCTACTAGCTGATGTCATGTCTAATTTCCTGTCCGCTTTCTCTCCCCGTCGACTCCTGAATCGTCCATCTGGAGATATATGTCTGTCAGTCATATGGCACACACTCACAATCATTCAAAAGTGTGGGGTAAGTATAAGATTATTTTAAAAGAAATTAATACTTTTTAAATCCAGCAAGAATGCATAAAAAATCTTAATATTACTAAAGATTCACTGTAAAAAATAAACCTGTAAAAAAAACGGTAAACTACTTGCAGCAGAGGTTACCAGCATCATAATGTAAAAATACGGTGTGTTACTGTTTTTGAAATTAACAGCTAAATATCGTATTGTTAGCTACAGTATAAAACTTTAATTTAACAGCTATATGCTCTAACACAAAAACAGTAACACACTGTGTAATTACGGTATTATGATGGCAACCACAGCTGCCTGTAGTTTACCGTTTTTTTACAGGATTACTTTTTACAGTGAAATAAATACTATTCTTTTGATCTTTTTAATCCTCAAACGATAAATGTCAAATAAATGCAGCCTTGGTGAGCATACATTTCTAAATTATGTAAAAAAAAAACTTACCGACCACAAAATTTAGTGTGTGTGTGTATACAATGTATATATATATATATTATATATACTCTCATACTATACTGAAAAGGGGTTATATATCAAATATGATCAAATAAAAATATACTTTCAAATTACATATTTTTACATGATATTTCTATAAATATATAATTTATAAACATTTATATTTAATTTTTATATGATACACGTGCAAATATGAAAATATATTGCTAGCTTTCTCCCCACTAACTGAATGTTTAGCCATGAATGTGACCTGAGATAATCATAGACAACCTCCTTAAAACAAATGCACACACTCACATACACTCCATGTGACCCTCTCTCTTGCTGACAGATCTGTCAATGGCCCACAATCTGAACTGAAGATGACCAGCAGGAATGGCTCCCTGTCCTCGTGATGACCCGGAGCGTGTGTGAGTGTGTGTGTGAAGGTGTCCCTCCACAAAGCCTCATCCGTGCACTTAATCATGTGCTAGCCACCAGCTTACACAGACTGTCTGGAGAAGAAACAGGCCAATATGGACTGTCAGTAATCAACATGGCATTTAGTCATTCCCTGCCAATTAGCAAAGCATTACCAGCCCCGGGTCAAAGGCGGAGCCGCACGCCAGCCGGCGGATGAAACCGGAGTGATGTGCTCTCCACGGAGGATCATCTGATGTCACCACTGCCCAAGCCCAATGCCGGTGCATGGAGGGGTCAGAGCAGGTATTCAGGCAGATGGCCATCTTGAAAATACTTCATGAGACTTTAACAAATGTATTTTTGTGTGTGTACGAGACAGGGACTAGTGGGAACCTAAGAAATAGATAGGGACAGAACATGTAGCAGTGTTTTATCAGTTGTGTTTGCTCTGTTGTGTCTCAGTGTGACTGCCTGGCTGCCCTGTCAGTGACTTTAAGGTTTGTTGGCTAATCAGTCTCATTTTGCCTCATTAGCCGCCTGTGTGGAGTTTCCTTCAAACTGAGATGATGTATTAACAGGCCAAATAGTCTTCTGGCTGCCCTCAGGGGTGAGACACGAATGAAATACGCGCGTGTGTGAGGAAAAAGGACAGATAGAGCACCATATGTGTACATTCGACTGGTTAAAGGAAATCACATATTAGGCCTCTTCAGTCAGTGTGCCAATCATGTCTCATAGAAATGAGATGAAATGGAGATTTTTGTTTGTGCCACCAAAAATAATTTATACCTTTTATATTTAGCCTTTTTGTCTTTTATTAAGAAAAAAAAACATGGTTGCGTTTTAAGTCAGGTTTTTGAATTTTTTATGCTGACCCCTAAATTTGAGCCTAAAATAGCTCAGTTTGATAAACCTTCTAGACATTATAAATTTTACATTATGAAACAGATCCTGTTACTATACTCACTTTTTCACTTCACCTTGTGAATTTTAGTATAAAGATTAAAGAAAGCCATTAAAACTGTTTAAATGCTTAAACGATAAAATACATTTTAAAATATAAAATGCATGTGTCCAATAAAGAGAGCATATTATGAAGAGTATGATCCAAACACACAGACAGAGTAAAGAAAGTCTCATTTCTGTCAGTATTGCAAAGTGATTTTAGTGAAGTGAGACGTCTAGCACACCCCAACACCCCCTAATCCCAAATTTCATATACCAAGTCCCAAGCTATCTGCATTTTACCTCAAAATTATCCCTAAAATCATTAGCGGCAGTGTAATCTGTTTAACTTGGCAAAGGGTTTCTGAAATGATCCTGGCGATTTACTCTATTAACACAACCTCCTGGAGGGAGCATTTTGTTTTCCTTTGTCTTGTTTGTGTTTATAACTTGCATAATTTATTTTAATGGTTTTTATCAGCGTTTTATTTCAGCGTGTTTTTTATCCTGAGAGAGGAAGTTATTGAGAGTGATAAAGGCTAATCTAAACCCCAGATCTCCATTAAACGGCTCTATTTCCTCACTGAGTGAGTCTGGAAATGGAGCTGCCTTTAAAGAATGCAGTATGACCTTAAGGGTACCGAAGTATGTGTGTGTGAGTGTTGGTGAACAGGAAAGAAAGACGCATTTAAACAAAGCACACAAGGGGGTTTATTACTGGGAAAGGTACAGTCTGTTGCATATTAAAAGAGCCATTTTGCCCTCAGAAATGATCAGACAAACACATAAAAATTTGAATACAGTGGGGAATTTTTTTTTTAATCAGACACCTTTAGGAACATAATTTAAGTGTACAAATATAATTTTCATTATTTTGAACAATGTATCACTTATTTGTAGGGATGTGTCCAAATACTGAAGGTATTAGTTGTATTACAGACCATTAGTTGTGAAATATAACCATATATTTAATTTTAATGGTGATGATTATATTTAAAAGTCTCTTCTTCGTGAAATATAACAGTTTATTTAATTTTAATGGTGATGATTATATTTAAAAGTCTCTTATTTGATCCACGTAGAACTGATTCACTGACTGCCGTGACAGATCTTTAAAAAACAGGAAATTTAAGGACGTGTTGCACGGTTTCTCTTAGAGTTTTGTATTGTATATGGAAGGAAAAGGGAATCTAAACCTTGATGCTCCAGTTACAATTAACATGATCTACCTGGGTTATGATGCTGGCATGTGGAAAAGCATCGCTGAGCTCTGGTTGCACAGTGGAACCACCGCAGTAACACACTGTATATTTACCAGTGGACTGCAAGGGGACATTATCAGACGCAGCTTATCAGCTCCAGTTTTGTCCACAGTTTATTGCAAATCTGGCAGGAACAGCAGCATGTCAAGGGAAGCACAAGAGTAAAGCCCTTTGAGGAATTAAATACATAAACAATCCGAAAACTACCAGAATAGCAGAAAACGACAGTAGTTGTTTATACACTATGTCTAAACAACGCTGGGTTGTTTCAACCCAAATTTGGGTCAAATATGGACAAACTCAAACGTTGGGTTAAAAATGCAATTAAAAAAATGTACAGTTGAAAATTGAAGTTAAAATTTGAAATGACATTTTTAACCCAACATTTGGGTTTGTCCATATTTTACCCAAATTTGGGTTCAAACAACCCAGCATTGTTTAGAGTGTAGATTCTTCTTAAAAGGATCATCCAAAAATGGATAATGTCATCATGTTTTCTAGTCAGATCTTGTTCATTTCAAACATTCATATACCTAGACTTGAGGCCTACTGTATATATCAGTTTGTTCCTCACAAATTATTGCAAGGCCCTGTAATTTAACATATATTGAATGCATTACTTTGATGTACTTTTTAAGTATAAATCAACGACATGAAGGGCAGTAAATGATGAAAGAAATTAATTTTTTGAACGATTTATTCCTTTACGTGTAAAAACGTTTTTTTGAAGTTTGAACATAAATATATATGCCCAATCTATATGATACTTCTTAAAGATTCTTAAACTAGGTGCAGTTACTCTATCAGTGCCACAAAGACATGTATTAACAGAGAGAGTGGTGTGTATGGGTGTGTGTGTGGCCTGGTAAACCCTACATTGTGGGGACATTTTGATGGCTATATCTGAAATCCTTGTCCATTTTTTGGTCCCAATGAGGAAAACTGCTACTAAATCATACTATGTGATGTTTAAATGCAGAAAGTTTTCTACGATGTGTAGGTTTAGGGGTACGGTTAGTATAAGGGGATATAATAGTTGAAAAATCATTGAAAGTCCCCAAAACACAATGCGTGTGTGTGTGTGTGCGCTGTTGTTTGCTCTAATGTATACAGTATTAGTTCAAACCAGAGAAACAACTGCTATATTATATTATAAAAGTCTGTCTTGTCCATGCAACACAATGACATTAAGAATCATTTTAATCTTGCTTGCATTAATGAACATGGGATATTGTTTTTTATTTCACCTTTTAATGAGTTGTTAAAGTATTGAAGTTGAAAGCTTTTTTTCCTGTATAATATTTTGCCCTAAGCAGAGAAACGCATGAGCTAAAAACTCATTTTACGGAGGCAAATGGAACGGCAGGCTCTCCTGTTTGTGCCATGCAGCGCTTTAGTGAGCCTGGAGACTAATGAAGTGCTCCTTTACCGGCAACTGGGGTTTAATTTACCCTCAACCCCCCCCAAAACCCCCTGCAGTGTGACACAGAGCCGCAAAACACTCCGTTCACACTCGCTTTCTCCAACAAAACAGTTCAGTAAGAGTGCGCTGCAAAAATATACATTTTTACTCTGTATTTTTGTCTTTTGTTAAATATAACATTTCTAACCAAATTTAGACATTTAAAACAAGAACAAATAATACTAGATATATTCTCTAATATATTTTTCAGTTTTTTTGTTTGTTTTAATTTTAATTGTTTTTTAGTCAATAAAAATACTGATTACGTAAGAACAAGACTTTTTTTTCCCCACAAAAAAACAGTTTTTTTTATTATTTGCTTAGTTTTAAGTATTTCCAACACTTTATCATGCATAAACCTGCCCACATCTGATTTTTTATATAGTTATTATATCAGACCATGCATGCATGTCTGTATACGTGTGTTTAACCATGGTTTAAAGAAGTTGAAGACTTCTTTTGGGATATCCCCTTACATTAAGACAGGAAATATATACTTCAGAATAAGGCCGATCCAGTTTGTGACTCATGTAATTGTTTCACTTAACATGCATTAGTGTTATAGGTTTAGGAACAGAATACGCCTTTGTATACAAGTCAGAGCTTGTTTATATTATGTTGTGCTTCTGTTTATGTTACATGAATGAGAGAATATGTTTGCACGAGTGTGTGTGATGTGGGACCATGCAGAAGGTCGGATGTGCCAGTGATATCCACATCTGTAGCGTGGCAGTGTGCTCTCGCCTGCAGTGGTCAAAACGGGCAGCCAGCCAAACGCTAATCTGCATTAGCAGCACAAAAGATCCGGGGAGGGAACCGCTGCGAGGATGCTCCTTCATTTACTGGAGATTTATAGAGGTCCAGATTCCAGAATCAGGAGTCGAGACGCCCAGTGTTTTCCCTATCATTTGCTTGCATCTAAAGAGTTTGGGGAAATCATTTGGAATCAAGCACCCACAAATCTTGGTTGTGTGGGGTGGTTGGAATTCCAGGGTCTAGAAAAGGGAAAATGGAATTTGTGTGGATGCATGTGTGTTTGAGTGTGAATGCGTGCAAAGAATCGTATAAAAGTAATATTAGGTTCCAGGGTTTGTAGAGCTGTTGAGTCCTGAAGCTGGAATATGGAAATGCGTGGAGTCTATTGAAGGCGGGAGGTCATTGTTTGGGGGGCTGTGATGATTTATGTTCTTTACTATGGCCATTGTGTGGGGCCAAGTACATCAATGCAGCCAACTCGCTTTGGACACACACCCAAATGGCTGTGACCCCTCATTCACATGATGAAGCTGTTTCCTGCTCACAGACAGATACACTGGTTGAGTCAGCTCTTTTCTTTTTTCCTGTAAGATAAAAATGTAGGTCTCTTGCTGCTGGGTGAGGGGGTCCTAGAGTTTGCGAGAGAGGAACATGGGGTGACAGGTCGATGTGTTATACTTAGACAAAAAAGAGAATCTAAAGAAATGCATGTGTTTTATGTTTTGTATTATATTTGAGACACCAAGTTTTTATGGCCCATATAGCCTACAATTATATGGTGAGTGCCAAACTGAACAAAAATATGCAATTTGGTGCAGATGTATAGCTTGTAATGTAAATTAATGCAATTTTTATAACAGTGTAACAGACCAAATCAA